ACTACTTAAAATTAACCCCTTTTACCGTTAAGACTTCCTAAACTAACAACATGGTAACGAGTATATATATATTGACGTAGTAGTTATTATATATATATATATATATATGTTGACCAAGGTGTTTATATATATATATATATATGTTGACCAAGGTGTTTATATATATATGTTCCATGTGCCATTTGGAAGCTCTAAAAGGGGGAATTTTAAATCAATTTTAAATAATTCTAAATTTTAAATCAATTCATAGCTTGGTATGGAAAACTGTTATAGGGCTTTGTATTTTTGTCTTAAACTGAATTTTTGATCGTATATGTTTTCCTAGCATCATGAAAACATTTTGTCACTATATTTATTCAACAATGGTTTTATAAGTTCTATCTCCTTCAAAAATCGCTGTTAACATTTACTTTACATTTTACAGAAAATTATGTCTAAGTTAAATTTCCACTATTCAATTCTTATTAAAAAGAATGCTATTAGGATTCGCAAACTTCTTACAGTTAACTACAAATAAGAACAGAAATCTTCAAAGACAGGTAAATATATATATTAAGTAAACTATACACATACCTTTTCAGGCTTATATCACGAATATTCATATTTGTATTAAATAATGTATTTCGACTATCACCACGTTATTTTAGTTTCTTCTTTAGTTTTTAATACACAAGTTCTTGGTACAATTACCTAAGCCCTCTGCAGCTAACTGAGCTGAAAACTTGTGTATTAAAAACAAAACTAAAATAATAGGGTAATAGTCAAAAGAAGTTACCTAAATACAAATTCTTAATGTATTTACATAGATTAATGTGCATTATTCTCCAGATTAAGAGAAAAGTCTTTGTCTTAAAAAAATTCCTTTAAATGTTGTTAAAGAAAACAACCATGGATATGTTCCGTAGTTGTGATCCTCAACCATATGTACGATATTTCACAATATGTTTCTCAAGCACTGTATCAGGTCTTTTTTTTCATTTATTTACTGGCAGTATGGGCTTAAAAAAATAGATGTTTGTTAACTTGGGTTATAGGTTAAAAGAATTTTAAGAACCCCAAAACTGAAAAGATTTTTTTAGACAAGAATCAAACATGGAAATAATGACATTATTTAATGTAACAAAATTATAAATCTACCTAATTATATGTGTCATATCGTTAAACCTATAATTAAAAACAATCAATAAAAAAATTACAAAAAGTTAAATAACAGATCCAAAAATCTTTTAAGAATGCAATAAAATGCACAAAACTAGAAATTTTTAATAACTGTTGATAACAAATTGATCTGAAACCTCTCAAAATTACCACCTCTACGTACTCACCTCTCGACCAGTTCTCCCTCGTAATGGTTCATTAAGTATTTCATAATGCTTATCGCTCTGTTGATCTGCCTAAAATGTAGCAAAACAGTTTGTCATATTATCAAACACTAAAACGTTTTTCACCTTCAATTTTATTACAGTTTTGGACAAAAGTTGTTTTTCCTATGTTGTCACATACAATATTAAAAACCTAAAGTAACAAGCATTCACAATATCGAATAGTTTCTACCAATTTTTAGTTCAGATGCTCTAATGATGTTATTGTAACCTGAGTTATGAACAATGATGATGTTAATGTAACCCAAGTTATGAACTCTTCTTTGGTGTTTCTGAAAAAACAAAACAATTTGATTTTAGTGGTTTTTGCTGATAGAAGTATAAACAAGTAGAGAAAGAGTACAAACTGAAACTGTTGCTACATATAAACAGATTTAATGAGTGACCTTTACTGCTGGTATTGTTAATGATGGTATGGTATATCAGTAAAACCTTGCTAGTACTAATGCAAAGTTTAAAAATTGAAAGGGAATAAGGATTTATTTTGAGTGAGCTACAATGACTTTTCACATACCCGAACCTTAAACTTAAATGTATATACTGAAAACTATTAAAGAGTGTGTTTTGTGTAAAGCACGTATGTAGATGTGTTTGGGCGAATAGAACTTCATGATGGGACAGTGTTCGTAACTCGGGTTACAATAACATCACAGTGTTCGTAACTCGGGTTACAATAACATCACAGTGTTCGTAACTCAGGTTACAATAACATCACAGTGTTCGTAACTCGGGTTACAATAACATCACAGTGTTCATAACTCAGGTTACAATAACATCACAGTGTTCGTAACTCGGGTTACAATAACATTATAATTTAGTCAAGAAATATTAATTGTGGGGTAAAAATAACAACAAAGATCTACTAATTGGTTAAGATAAGCTACAAACTTGAACAAAGTATTAACATAATCTAAACACAAACAGGGGTATATAATTAAATCTATTCCTTTTTTACAGTCCTTAAGTCATAGCACTAACTTAATAATCAATGAAAGAACAGAAAAAGGATAACAGTCAAGTTTAAACTGGTTTCTTCATTGTTTTAAACTAATTTATAAAGTAACCCCTACAATCTATTGTAAAATGAGTAACAACATCGGTCACCTCTTTTTGCTGCTTCTCTAATTCACGCATTCGGATCTCTCTCGCCTCGGCACGTGCCTGCCTCCGTGCGGCTAACCTTGCCTCTGCCTGTAATTAATAAAAACATGAACACTCTAACACGATCCAAGGTAAGTTCATAACTTATAAAACTGTATATAACAGTGATGAAATTTGTTTGGAACCCAATTTAATGTTAGTTATTTCTTTCGACGATCACAACTTGTAAAACCTAAACACTGACACACATTGTTTGCTAAAAGATGCTCAAACCTTGGAAGACTTAAGCAAAAATAAAAATAAAACCACAATTACACTTTGTTTTAATGAGTTCAAATATGTACACAAGTATAGTAAAAATAAAACCATATATCTGAACACATTAAAACAAAGTGTATTGTGGTTTTATTTTTACTATACTTGTGTACAATACACTTTGTTTTAATGTG